AAAAAAATTGACTCACTCGGGATGCAGATGTCGCTTCTGCACGAAGTAAGCGCCGCTCTCGATGTCGCAGACGATGGAATTCCTCTGGTGGATGGAGGCATCCGACTCGGACAGCCAGAGGAACTGCAGCGTCGCGTTCCCGGTCGAATCCACGGATCCGGCGTAGACCAGGAATTCTCCGTTCGCTGTTCGGGGATGGTCGGGGTGAGGCGAGAACGGCGTTTTCACGGCGAGATGAGAGTCCTTCGCTCACGTGCCATGACGTAATGGTCGAAGGTGACGAAGTCGAAGGATCCGTCGGTGGCTACTCCTCGGCTCCACGGGTCCATCGGCACTACTACCACCTGCATTCGCATTTTAAAATAATTATTATATCCATTAACTATTGGGCCATTTCAGTCGCTTGGTCTTCGAGTTGGTTAGATTGGATCGGCTTTGCGGGGCTCACGGGATCATCTCCCTCGAAGTCGTTGGTGCAGAGTCGGCCGTTGAAGATGGCAGAGACGTGATAACCTTGCTCCAGGGCGATCACCAGTTCCCCATAGTCTCTCAGATACGTCGGCGGAGGGTCTGAACAGAAAATCGAGGTCGTGTGAGAGAGATCGATGAATCGATTGATGTTGCCTCTCGTCTCGTGCCTGTTGGGTGGTTCGGTCGAAGGGAAAAGACTTGGATGACGCTAAGTTTTGAGTTTAATAATGGATTCGGGTCATTGCCGTTCTCCATTTGGAAAAAAAAGGACATGCGGAAGTATACAAAGCATAGCAGAATGAAAACTGTGATCCTCTCTCATCTTCCTTCGCAACTTTCTCAAGTCAAACTCCATTGTACGGAGACCAAGACGAATTATGGAGCAGAAAAAAAAAGGAATGGGTAACCAAAGTGCTCCGATGACAACTCGATGCCTGATTTGGGAGGAGAGTGGAGGGGGGGGGGGGGAGAAAGGGAGGGGGGAAGGAGGGAAAGGAGGGAGGAAGGAAGGAAAGGGTAGGTGCCGTCTGGTTGCTGGCTGCCCGGTCGTCATCTTTGCATTTTCATCTGCCCATTGCACAGGCTGAGAATATTAATCCGTTGTCATTCTGGCCTTTTCCAACTTGAGTGTACACCTGGGTTATCGTGAGCCAAAATTTTTTATTTACTCCGCGGTAAAGTATTTCATTGGGTTAAACTGGGGCTTGTCATAAACTAGATCGTGTATAATTTTACTCTCACTTGGTTTCTCTTTCTTCAACTTATACTCTTGCCTGAAACTGAGAATTTTAACTTTCGATTTATCGTAGCTCTACGTTACCGAGGCCCATGGACTTGGTGCATCGTAATGAACCCTGATCCCTTTAAACGTACGATGCGCGACTGCTTGCACGTGAAGAATCGAGAGACTGCCGATGCAAAATGTTTACGAATATGATAACGGGCGAAATATTTTGAATGCTTCGCGACAAGGTTCTGTCGCCATACGAGCTTCTACAGTCTCGCCAAATTTTAAATTCTCAAGATTCAAGAAGTCAAAAACGAAGGCGAATGAATCAAACACCCATACATACACTGTTGAGAAAATTTCCAAGTAAATATAATATATGGCAAAAACTCGGGTTTAAGCATGACCGGCTGCAATAATCGAAGAGGTCATCAGACAGCGTCGCATTTGACCAATCAGCTCGACTACTGAGGTCAAGCCAATACCAACAGTCCGATTTCCGCATTTTGCTCTGGAAAAAATAAAAACGGTCGCAGGCCTGGGGAAATCCCAGATGCAACATATTTTCTTTTTCCCATGGCTTCGTATTTTACTTGATTTTATGTAATTCTTTGCCCTTCACTTTCCGTGCAAGTTTTTCACGTTTTTCATTCCCAAAGGTTTCTCCGAGGGTCCTGCAATTCAAAACTTCAACTTCTCAATCCTCAATTACTAAAGTTATCAAAAGATACAAAGCGTCCCCACTCAAGGAAACCTATTTCATACTGGAAATTAGTCGTTTCACGAATTGAGACGAAATGACTTTCACCTCGTTATCATTGTTATCATGTGACGTAGAAACATACGCGCAAATGGAATTTACAGTTTTCAGAAAACGTGGATTATACACACTTCGCTTGGCGCTCTGACAGATTCATCACCACTGCCGTGATACATCCGACGGTTTGTATGAAGAATGAAGGTGACCCTCCTCCCCTCCCCTCCATAGGGGGGAGGGCCAGTTTTCCTGCTTTGCGTCTTCTATGGACAGACCCGTACCTCTTCTCCTTCCTCCTTCTTCTTCTCCTCCTAGGCCTGCCTGTAGCAAGTGAACTTTCAGTGTTTAGGGCACGTGAACTCGCATCTCGCCATAATCTCATTTTATAGCTCAGAGTGAAAAACATGTTGCATTATTCTAACGGAGACAGGTGTTCGCGTTCTCGTGAGAAAAAAATCAGATGCGAGGAACCCTTGAAGAATATTTTATTATCGACCCGCTTCACGAGAATCTTCAGTCTTGGATGGAACTGTAAACCACGACCCCCTCCCCGAGGTTACATTCCAAGTAGAATTCCGCGCCGAGGATGTTCGTCCAGACGCCGTCGACGGTCGTCCAGTAAGCCGGGAGGACGATGACCAGATCCGTCGGATCGAAGA